TTAAGAGACTTACGTTTTAGACACCATATTGCCTGTTTATGCACTATTTCTCCATGAAAAAAAATTATTCCAAACACTGCCACAGCACTGTTTTTCGTCTCTGAGCAACATGACGGTGTTTCGTTCCTGAATGAATGAACCGTTTAAATTATTCGGTTCAATCGCAGTGACTCACTTATTAACAGTGACTTGCTGCCACCTACTGGTGGTTTTAATTTCACATTTTAAGTATTGTTTAACCCATTTTAAAACCCAAATAATTTCAAATATCATTATTTAACGTTTTATGTTTAATATATCAAAATATTATTTATGCATTTGTAATTGCAGTTAAATGCATTCATGTCTTGCATTAAACAGTGTGTAAATACATCTAAATGCCACTTCAGATGCAGCTTCTGTGTTGATTTAATTTGCTTAGTAACAGCCCAAATGTCTTATTATTCTAATTCAATGATTAAATGCCAGAAATTGACTCAAAAGTTAATGGATAAAATGTAAAAATCAGTTTAAAGGGGTCATATGATGCTGCTAAAAAGAACAGTATTTTGTGTATTTGGTGTAATGAAATGTTTATGCGGTTTAAGGTTAAAAAAACACATTATTTTCCACATACTGTACATTATTGTTTCTCCTCTATGCCCCGCCTTTTTGAAACGCGTCGATTTTTACAAAACTCATCGGTCTGAAAAAGCGAGGTATGCTGTGATTGGCCAGCTATCCAAGAGAAAGGAACAATTGAAATCGCATCATATGACCCCTTTAAACTTATTGGAAAAGATCACACTGATTTTTGTCAGTGTGAATTAAAAATTTAAAAAATAATATTCATGTTTAATCATTTTAGACACATGATTTTACTGAAGGCTACCAGGATAATTCGAGTTTATTAAATTCATAAACATAAACAAGCTATATCTTCTCTATTTCCAGTTTGTAGCGTGGATCATTCATTGCAACATTTAATCTGATTCTCATGAGAATCTGAGATCTTGAAAATAATTTATGCTACTACTGCCCACTGACTTGGTTGTAAACCTATATTATTATGAAATGTATGAGCCTTAAAACATCTTAAAATACACACATGTAAGACAGGAAAATCTAAATTTTCTCGGGGGAGAAAATCTCCATTTAGGGACCTCGGTATTTATAAAAACCTGCTTACGGCCCTGATCATAGACCGCAGCTAAAAAACAAAACAAAAAAAACAATAGTGTCTAATGCGTAAAAATGACATTCTTATGTAGGACCCAGAAGCGTGACCTTACTGTTTGCTGTTCTGTCTCGGTTGTCGGTCCAAATAGGTCAATATTTACTGCACTTAATTACGCTCAGATTTCTGTGATCACGGCACAGAGTGACAGCAGAGCACTGCGCAAAATGGTTTACACTGGCTTCATCAAAATGGCTTAAAGTCCTGTACTTTCACTTTCGATTGATCGCTCGACTCCTGAACTCCATGTCTCATTGTTCTTGTTCATTGCAGCAGCGGTTCCTGATCATGAATTTAGATGCGGCAGATTCAGCTAACCTATTGACTGCTAGTAGCATGTTTTACGTTAAAATCTCTGAATGGTGACAGAGGTCTGGTGTTCTTGCATAATTCAGCCTGAGGGTGGCGCACTAAAGTTGAGTGGCAGACACTACATACTGTACATAGAATTTTATCTTAAAAAGCGAATATTTGTGATCGAATATTGATTCAGAATGTTACAAGTTGTGGAACAGCCATGTTGATTCTCAGAACTGAACCAAGTCTACCCTTTTTACAACTAAAGACAAAAGTGTGAGATTCTCAATTTATTGTGTTATGTTGCCATAAAGGTTGACAAACAAGGATGATGTGGTGCAATAATCGTGATTTAAATGTATTAAAGTTTAATGTTATCAAATGAAAATAGGCTCACGGTAAATGAAAAAGAAGATTTACAGTAGGGGCCATATATTAAACAAACTGTCACAACAGAAACAAAATAGAATTGTCTGTAAAATATGACATGAAAACTCCAATGTTGTAGTACTCATACGTGAATGCAGGGGCGTCATGCACCTATTTTTTTGAGGGGACACAGTGTGCACAACAAACAGAAACGTGTTCACAAATACAGACGCTAAAGGCAATATTCTATTTATTATATATTTATACATCAAACTAATTTAAGGTTCTTTTCCTTGTTTAAGAGTTGAATTGTTATCACAAGAACATCAATAAAGTGTGGTGCGCAGTGTATGTGTCTCCTTCCTTTTTTTCTTAAAGTTCCTCAGTCCAGTCTTTCAAATGACCAAAAAGATGTTTCCTTTAGTGGAAATCAGTTCTGTCTTTTGGTTCCAAAAAACAAGTGAAGCAAAATAAAAAAATAAAAAAGAATTAAACAAAAAATTTTTCTATCCAATCCCAATCTGGAGGGTTCAAGGGTCCACTAAGATCCTACCACACAGTGTTATCACATGAGACATCCAGCAGCAATCGATGACTCCATGGATCCAATGATCAAGGGTGGTTGGCTCGCCATCTTCCCTCCGGAAGAATTAAAATGCATACAAAAAACCTGGCCTGCAATAAAACAGGCACATCCATATCATATTACTCAATGATCAACTCACAATCAATTTATATGGACCTTGTTGGGGATTGCCCCTCTGAATGCTAGGTTTGGATATTATTGACCGCTACAGAACCCCGATTAAGGAGTGGAGTCATCAGATTATTCTTTTGCCTTTATTATGCAGCATAAGACCACATACACATAGTGTGCAGCTGAGGTAGTTTCTGTGAACAATACAATAAAATATGAATGAATAAACATGAAAATTGCTAAATAAGGAACATAACAAATCTCCATTCTTAATAATAAACACACTTTGAACACCACTCAATAGTATTGTATAAGTATGCAGCGTCTTGTAAACGTATAAATACAGCAGCATAAGACTGGGACGTCATATTGTACTAGTAATATGGACCTGTAATAATAAAAACGATAGCTTATTTTATCATATGTAGCACCAGATTACCTAAATAAAGTGTATAAACATTAGCGGCTATGCTAGCACATTTAGACCGATCATGGAAACATGATTAAGCACTCTTTTAGGGCATCTAACATCTTAAAACTTACACACAAACAAACCCTGATAGAAACGGAGTGATATCTGCAATGCTTCTGAAATTATCATCAACATATAAGTATGATTCAACTTACATCGTCACAAACTTGTACTGCATAATGGGCTGCTGCACGCGAATAACAAGTGGATCCTCCGCTCACGTAACAGAGAATATGCACTTACGCAAAGTGCGCACATACACTAA